CAAAGGTCATCTGAAATACGTACTTACCATAAATTATCATGCATAATTGACTAGGCCTGCAGGCACAATGTACAATATGTATTGCTTAACATTTCCTAACTGTGACATCAAGAGAAGGAAAATTCAGTGTGCTGTGTTATTATTTATTTTAAAAAATGTGGCTTTTTGCTATTGGCCTCAGTTGTTGCAGTCAAGATGTAAACATTAAGTTACAGTGTCTGAGCGTGGTAATTAATAAACCACAAAAGTGTTTAATTCATTACCACTGGGAAACAAGGAGGATGTGGTGCTGTGATCGCAGCAGTGATATAAAACACATGATGTTCCTCGAAGCTCCTATTGAAACATGATTTAAGTTAATTTTCCAGCGACTCTAATAATAAAGTATTAAATAATGCCTAGAGACACTGTACATTGAAAGCAGTAAACATGGATAATGCAGATTCATTTCATAATTTTTTGAACCAAGTCAACTTTCTTGGCCAAAACCTGTTTCATTTTAAATAATCCATGTGCAAATAAAGCAAATATTTGTTCACACAAGATAACTTTTTGCTACCTTTTTTTATATGTTATTGTCTAAAAGGTTTTGAGAGAAAATTATGCAACTTTTCTTATCTGTTTTGTCATTTTCAAATTGACGAATTCATCAACTTTGGACCTCTGAAGTTGTTTTTAGCCAATTTGCAATGTTGGTTGACATTTTATTGACTAAACAATTGATTGACTGGAATAAATACTTAACAATAGAACCCATAACTATCATAACATGCAGTGACTATTAGATACAGCCCAAGTACAAACCAGCAGCCTGTTCTCCAAGTTTCACAAAAGTAACTAATATACTTTTTTTCCGCCTGTTTTACCTTCTGACACGCCGTCTGTCATGTCTTCTGTTTCTGTTTTTCCATTCTCCATGTTTAAGTATCCGGTCGGGTCTGATCCAATGTATTTCACAGCTGTCTGATCCTGTAGTCCTTATCCAGCGCACAATGACTTCAGTCCGCTGCTCTGACTTGTGCCTCTCCTCTGAACCACCCTATCTTCTGCTGTGATCACTCACTTTCTCTCCTCCAAAGCATGTGAGTCCTATGATTTCGCTTTGGCACAAACAGGCCCTTGTCCTCAGAGAGTTAGAGACAGGAGGGTAATATCAGGAGGAGTTAGAGAGAGACATTTGTTCATCAAACAGACTCATATTGTTGCTAACTCATTAGATTTAAAGAAGCGTGACTGGTTGATTAGTGCTGCTGTGTATCATCCTTATTAACACAGTGCTTAAAATTGATATTACAGTTATTGCAGCGGGTAAAGGTGAATATATGCTGGTTGTTGCTTGCAGTGGAGAATTTCACAGTAGGCCAGTGCCATTACAGTGTCAAAGCTTGTTTGTATTTGCAGTGTCCAGTCTTTTACTTTTCAGAGTATGTGTTGTTGGATATGTCATTAGGACACATGAACTTTTATATGTTTTCTGTCGTCTAATTTTTCCTCTTTGACGCCTTATTCCAAATAAATGTATTTGACTTGCATAAGCTGCAGGGAGAGGTCCCATTACCAAACAATCAACAGTGGGTTTGAAGCTTGAGGGCAGTGCTAAAAACTGTGAACACACAATAACATTATAACTGTTAGCAGAGCCACATCATCTTTTAATGTTGTGTTTCCAGCTACTTGATTAATGTAGGTCCAATACTCCCTCTCCATGAAACATTTGTATCCATCAATTCTGGAGAATTATTTCAGGTCTTTAACAGCTAAATGCTACAGGAGGCCGAGCAGGAAAGAGTCCAGAGAGGTAAAACTAAAATGTCTCCAGCTAACCGAGCAAGCTAACATTACCAATGCCCCCCCTAGTGGCTGAAATATGTTAAAGCATTACTACGTCTAAAACTGTTCCAATACAAATATTTCGTATATCAATATTTTAATAGATGTAATAAAATGATTGTTACAATACACATCTGATTAATATATTTGTTTGAAATAATTTCATTTTTGAGCAGTCTCATGTTGTGACGTATGAGGTTAAGGACACAAGTTCCCTCCCTTTTTTTTTTTGCATACAAGTGATTCAGCTATTGTATTACAATAATTAGCAGTAATGGATATGCAGCGATTTTTAAAACGTCCAATTTCTGGGACGTTTAAGGCGTCTACTTCTGCACTAAGTAGGACACTGGTTAATAATATTGTAGCGTGTTCAAGTAACCAAGGGATATAGTTATCAAATAAGTATAAGATGTGCACAGTTATGATAAGTTTTACAGTTATGTAATGCATGTTGTTGGGGGGAGAGACCGCCCCTTCCATATGAGTGTGTGCGGGCATGAGGCGTGCATGACGGGACGAGTTGTGTTCGTATATGGAAAAGTCATACTCAGTGCGGTGAACGCTGGCTTTATTTATTGCTACTGTATCCGTAGCACGCTACGCAATAGTTGGGACTGTGTACTGACGTCAGTAAAAAAGGTTTGCCTCCCCCCCAAGCGCGAATGTCAAACTCCGCCTATGATTTTAACTAATTGCCTAATTTTACGTGTTTAACTCATGGCAACTATTTACACAGCTAAGAGTCAATAATGATAAGTTGAACACCTGCACCATAATTAAATGTGACCTATGATACAACACAAAGGAATCTTCTAAAAATGCCCAATTATTTCAATTTCCACATATGTGTGCATCCTAATGTGCACCTGAGCTTTGAGTCATGTCATGTTTGCATACCTAAAGAGTTAGTTAGATAACAAAGGTTCCTAAAAAGTTATGCAAAGTCTGGATATGCAAGTTGAAACCCTGAGAAACAGTCTATGTTGGTGTACAAGTGTACTGAGAATCCATTAGGGTACACATGTATAATGTTAGGCATGGCAAGCTGCCAGATAAGAAGACTAAAGCTGCTTGTGACATTATCTTTTAAAATGACTGAGAGAGAAGGTGCTTTTCTTTTACTATGCAAAATATAGTAGCAGTGGAAACCATAATGACACTTTATCTAAAAGCACATCATGCAAAAGAGACTCATTGCTATCACTATGTTCTTTCTTAAAGATATTTATTTAGCTGCTAACGTTGTCTGTCCATCGTTTGGTACCTAGCAGACAGCAATCTGTCAGTTGATCATCATTTTTGCTTGAAACAATGTAAATTAGAACATTGAGAGTGAAGCAAAACTGTAAAGTTTGCAGGCTGTAAAATGAAAAACTCTTACATGGGACCCCTTTCACATTACACACAGTGATCTGGCAAATTGTTGATTAACAACAATTATTCAGAGCAGCTTTGAAGTAGTCTGCTACTTCACCAGGAATCCATCATTTAATTTCAAGTACTACTCTTTAATGTATTATCTGTAGTTACTGCAAAATGTGATTTTTCAACATGTCATGTTTCAGGTCTTCTCCCCTCTCCTATAGGAGAATAAAACCTGATAATATATTTGTCTTCATAAAAGGTTAGGTCAAAGGTCAGGTTCAAAGCAAGTTGCTAACCCTAACCCTAACCTGCAGTGCAGACCTTTAAACTTGCTTCTTAAACTGATGTAAAACATGACAAATGGCTTGTCAAGGACTTGCCAAAAGTAGGTCAAGATAAAAGACTTGTATAATTCAGTTTTTTAGAACCTAGCATCCTCAACACTTTAACTCAGATGTCGTCCACGTGTTTTGTTCTTTGATGTCTCTGATGTTTCGTGTTTCAGAGACTTTATAACCAAAGCCCCGTGGCTGACAGGAGCCTGTCTGTCTCTCTGTTCATGTTGGTAGGTTACTGTTGTAGAAGTCTGTCTGCTCATATGTGACTGTCTCTCTTCATTTCTGCAGCATGTTTCTCTCTTTGTTTCCGTCTCTCGTCTGCGGTGGCGATGATAAAGCCCAGAGACAAACAGCTGCCTCAGATTTCAACAACAAAGCTGTGTTTGAAAGTTACATCATTCCCCATCATCTGATTTCAGTGGTTACATATGAGTTTTTGCAAGAAGAATATAGGCTACCGTCAGTTTCTGCTCTTCAAGAAATGTGGTTCGTGGAAAATGATTTCCTCAATAAAGCCTGAAAATCACATTACTAAACAACTGTAACAAAATAAATAGAAAACCCTTCTATTATTGTCTATTATTGAATTGTACTCTGTGGGGAATGCAAGGTTGACACCAAAAGCCTGTAAAAGCATTAGGCCTAACTGTCTTTTTTGTACAAACGGTTTTTTTTATTGGGTGGGAGCAAAAAAAAAGTGGTCCAAGAATAAGCAAGGGTATTTTATACAAACAATGCAAATTAAATAAAAAATACAGACAAGGAACTTGCAGACAGTTTCCTAAATGGCAAACAGATAATCATAATAAGCGGGCAGTTGTCTAGGTTTCAGGCCTGAGTCTAATATAATTAAATAAAACCATGAACAATGAGTAACACAATGGTAGAAAGGTCAGTAGGCCTACTCCTTCCTTTCTTTTTGAGAGTTGAAGTCGGTTGCACAAACAAGATGGACACAATGTTATGTTTTCATATAATTCAACACTCATACAACAAGACCATCATGAGTCGCCTCTATAGGACAAAGGGTATCTGATAAATTATAAAGATATAAGTGAAAAATACATATAATGTTTGGCAAAGTTTTAATTTTGAGAACCACAGATAATAGTAATAATAATAACAACGCTTTATTTATATAGCACTTTTCATACAACACATGCAGCTCAAAGTGCTTTATAAAATGACAAGAAATTCCCCTCAGATTATTTGTTAAGAACTTTAAGGTACATGCAGCAAATATAACATTTGATGAGGTTAATAGACACATGGAGGTACAATGTATGACAATACAAATACAATAGAATAAAATAAATAATGGTTTCACTCTGACAGATAAGACACAAGACAACTGAGTCGATTCAACAATATAAAATATAAAACCCCATAAAATGTGTCCCCGCACTTTAAAATACTCCTACTACTTCCTTCTTACTTCCGGTCCCGTGGCCCTCGTCACGTGACGCCTGTTATCTTGTGACGTGAAGTCGAGCCGGAGCTTTTGTTGTTGTTTTTCGGGGATGCAGTAGACCCGAGTGGACCCAGTTGTACTGTAAAATGGAGCGGTACGGGTCGGACACGGAGAGGGACGATACACCGCTGCTTCAAAAGGCCGAGGAGGAAAGAGTCCAGAGAGGTAAAACTAAAATATCTCCAGCTAACCGAGCAAGCTAACATTACCATTGCCTGTAAGGGAGGCTCATTTCGGGGAACATATGTCTCAAAGCCGCGCTCTTTCAGGCTGTTTAATGTGGAGAAAAAGCTTAAATGGAACCTATTTTAACTAATTGCTTAATTGTACGTGTTTAACTCATGGCAACTCTTTGTTGAATCAATAGTGATAAGTTGACTTAATGATTACAATGTCCACATATATAAACATGTCTAATTTACAGTTGGATTTTGTTGCAAGGTGCATCTGAATATTGATTTAATTTCCCACCCCCAAACTGTGCCTTTGTCACGAGTTTTAGGGACAACCGTTCGGAGCTTTTATCACAAGACACACCTAATGTGCACCTGAGCTTTGAGTCATGTCATGTTTGCATACCAAAAGAGTTAGTTAGATAAAAACGGTTCCTAAAAAGTTTGGCAAAGTCTGGATATGCAAGTTGAAACCCTGAGAAACAGTCTATGTTGGTGTCAAAGTGTACTGAGAATCCATTAAGGCATACATGTATTATGTTAAGCATGGCAAGCTGCCAGATAAGAAGACTAAAGCTGGTTGTGACATTATCTTTTAAAATGACTGAGAGAGAAGGTGCTTTTCTTTTACTATGCAAAATATAGTAGCAGTGGAAACCATAATGACACTTTATCTAAAAGCACATCATGCAAAAGAGACTCATTGCATGTAGATAGAAGGTATGGTTATTAAAACAAATGGGGCATTATGTCAAAATTAAATCCACTTAAACATCAATTTGGTCTGTCGGATAACAATGAATCTGTAATTACTTTATTTTAAAGATGTATATATTGCGGTTAACATTGTCACTGTCATAATAAAGAGTAAATGAATGCTATGTGTTATTATTTTTTCAATGATAACATTTGTCAATAGATTAATTCACAGCCCAATCTTAGTTTGGTTGTATTCAGTACACATATAAATATATATAGTCATTTTTCTCTACAATGTGTGATACAACTACAGCTAACATCATCCTGCAAACAGTCTCATTGTCTTCGTCTCTCTGTCTCCTGCAGCCCCAGCATGCGGCTCATCGCGCTATGGCCTGGCTCTTCTCTCCTCTTTTGGCTTCTTTGTGGTCTACTCCTTGCGCGTGAACCTCAGTGTGGCGATGGTGGACATGCTGAACAACACCCAGTCCGACACAAACCACAGCAGCTCAGTGTGTCCGGCTCATGCCAACCCTCCACGGCCCAAACACAACCACACAGTGAGTGAGAACAGAAACGCAGCTGAGTCAAAAGAATAATTAAAACTGGTTTAACTTGTCCTTGGAGCTGTATTGCACACAAGAGCATTTCATTGATTAGTTAAGTCCTTTTTGCAAAGTAAGAACGATTTAAGTGGCACAAATAACTACATTTTCTGCCTAAAAAGACTTTTAAAAAAAAATAACAGCAGCTCAATTCATCATTTTAACAACTAGTACTGCTTTAAGATTGTTATTGTTACTCATCCTTGTGTGTTCCTCTGTGGCCTTTTAGAGACAAATAGTTTAATTAAAGTTGATAGAGCACACACGGTCACACCCATTTCGGACAGTAAAACCCTTGTTGTCAGGCTTTAAAATCCCTCCAATGTGTTTCCCTATTTGTCTGCCTGGAAAAACTGTAATCATTACTGGATAGTTAGATTTATAAGTTGACATCTGATGATTAGTGATTTGTCCTGGGAAAATAGAATCTGGTTTCAAACCGCATTTAGGACTGATGCACAAACTAAGCTTTTCAATCTTTCAAACTGAACAGTTGAGTATGTGACAATGCCCCTCCTTACAGTCTGTGAAGGCAACAAAAGGCTGCTACAGTCATCCAGAAAGGCTCTGCATTATTGTCAGAACAGTTCTGCAGAGATGCTGTTATCGTGTTGGGTAACCTTATGCTTCTTATTGAGAAGCTGTGTTGATGAGCGCTTCTTTGCAGACACACATAACAATGCATGGACAATGTAAATGTTGACCATACTTGCCCTTTGTTATTGACTGTGTTTGACTGGCCTGCAACTAACAACTATTTTCATAATTGTATAATCTATCAAGTGTCCAAAAAATGTCCTAAAATATTGAGTGATGGTGATATCTTTACATGTCTTGTTATTCCTTTTGAAAATCCAAAGATATTCAGTTTCAATTATATAAAACAGAGAAAAAGCAGGAAGTCTCTATATTTGAGACCAAAACAATAATATTTCTTGCTATATTTGCATGAAAGATTACGTATATTTTTTCTATCTGTCGATTAGAGCAGGGGTTCCCAACCTTTTTTCCCAAGAGCCCCCCCCCAAATGACTCCTGTTGGAAGTTGCGCCCCCCCCCCCTCACACACACACACAAGGGAGGGGCAACAGCGGTAATTCAAGTTGAAAAGTCTCAAAAAAGCTACAACTACTGTCACAAAAGAAGAAAGAAAAGAAGAAACATTTCTATAGAAAGAATTATACATTTCTGTCTTTTTCTGCCTTTAATACTAACTTGAATTTTTATTAAAATTAATTAGTCAATTATTTTTTATATTTGATTGTAATGTGGAGACAAGGCTTTTAGTGACAATCATGTATTGCCTTACAATTATATGTAAAAAAAAAAAAAGTCTAAAGGCCTGGCGCCCCCCATGCGATCTTTGGCGCCCCCCAGGTTGGGAACCACTGGATTAGAGGACTAGTTGATGCAGCTCTAGTGTGTGTTCATGTTAGAGGTGAACTTTAGGGCGTTCAAGGAGAGGATGCTACAAGTACAAACCGACTGTTGAAGTAATATGTAGTAAACAAGCAGTAAAACTTTAGTTTGATCAAACTAAACCCCCCCCCCCCCCCCCCCCCCCCTACAGGCCAGTGTGTATAACTGGGACTCTGAGACCCAGGGCTGGATCCTGGGCTCCTTCTTCTACGGATACATCCTCACACAGATCCTCGGGGGATACCTGGCCGGCCGCTGGGGCCCCAAGTGGCTGATGGGTCTGGGGATCCTGGGAACTATATTTTTTACGCTGCTCACCCCTGTGGCTGCTGACCTGGGCGCAAAATACCTCATCGCTGTCAGGGTACTGGAAGGGATAGGAGAGGTAGGTTGTTTCATTACTAAAGAGACACGGGGTGATACAAAACATTGTGGGGAAATGTATACCATAAGCTGTCGTGGATTCAAATACAAAATGTGCTTTAAATATCCTTTTTAAAATGCATCTATGAGCACCCATAATCTCAATGGAGTTAATAAACACACCTACAGCCACACCAGATACAGCGATGGTTTGCATGTACAGATAAGTAGATGGTTATTGGTACTTTTTGCACTCCTATTGACGCTCTTCTTATGTTTGTATTCAGGGAGTGACGTTCCCTGCCATGTACACCATGTGGGCGGCCTGGGCCCCCCCGCTGGAGAGGAGCCGCCTGCTCACTATCTCCTACATCGGTAAGACACACACACACACACACACACACACACACACACACACACACACACACACACACACACACACACACACACACACACACACACACACACACACACACAAAGGAAAACGTTTTCATTTATGCAACACAGTATGAAACAGTAGAATTGGGTTTTAACTGCCTTAATATTTCTTTAACAGAATAGTGATGTATTAGCTTTCCAACTAATTGTTTAATAAGTTGGATTTGGTTATTGAAGCGTTTTAACTTTTGGACACAAAACAATTTGAAGATATTTTCCACTATTTTCTGAGTGATTTTTTGTACTTACCAATGACTCACTCATTTCAAAACAACATATTAACTTACAATAACATTCATGCTTAAAATATCCTTAGTTCAAGGCAATGTAGGAAGTTGATCTAAAAATATGAATCTCTCCCTCACCATGTGTAGAGCACGGTATGACTCACCCATCTCACCTCATCATCAGACATACCATTATTAATGTCCACCTCTCACTTTCTGTATATTCATCATTCGTAAGTTACTCTGTGCATTCAGAGCGCTGCAGGATACAGATGTCTTCTCTCTTCCTCCCCAGGAGCCCAGCTGGGGACGGTCGTATCTCTTCCTCTGTCTGGACAAATCTGCTTCTACCTGGACTGGACCTACGTCTTCTACGTATTCGGTAAAACATCCGGGGGTTTCGCTAGTGTAGGGTGGGAGGGGGGTTCCTTTGTTGCTGACTTTCCCTCCACCAGAAATACTTTGTTTTATTTCCATATTTAGATTTGATTTGTGAGTGATTTAACACATTTTCCTGATTTCTATTTGGATTTTGATGAGCTTCAACTTTTCTTTGTGTTGCGGTTTTTGCATTGATTTCAGAATATGAGCAATTTTATTTTTAAAAAAAAATGTTTATATAAATTGTTTAGTTATAAAATAAACAGACATTGCTCCAGATAACAGAACATACAACAAAACATGTAACAACAAACAACTAAACAAAACGTAACGGGGGGGGGGGATGCAAGGATGACTTCTTAAGACAGCTAATTGTGACATACACAGGCATTACACAGCCATTTTTGTATCATTAATGAATTCCTTACTATTCTATTTCCACATCGCATTAAGCCAGAAAACCATTATCTAGTAAGATGTTAGGTCATGAAAGTGACATCATGAATAAGTCGGATAAGAAACACCTTATTGAGTGAACATCTCAGACGATGTCTCATCTTGTCTAATTAGGAAAGTGTAAATAAAAAATGCTCTTCTGTAGTCGCTGCAGGTCTGGATTATGGAGTCTCTGGAGCATTTCCCTGACGTCAAGCAGCCTCTCCATTGATTAGTCGGAGATGTTTGTTTTCCTTTAACACTTATCCTCTAATCCTCAGACGAGCTGTTTCCAGTGTCTGCTCCTTCGTTCCTCTTTCGCCGGTGGAAACGATGAGTTCGCAAGTTTGAGAAGAAAATGTGCTCACGGGTGGAAAAATAAGTCCTGCTTAATTGACTGGCTTTCTTTCCTGGTGAACAAATGCCACTGCCACTAGTTAACCCCGTTTGTAAACCACAGGGCAGATGCAAGCGCAGTTATGTTACACAAGTAAAGAAGGAGTAATGACTAGCTTTTATTTTAGTTTCATGAAAGCGACGAACACAGTGCCTCTTCTTCCACCATCATCATAATACGTGCACCTGCTGCCTACCTTGGATATTTCATGTGTTGAAGGGTTTATTGTGTGTGTGTGTGTGTGTGTGTGTGTGTGTGTGTGTGTGTGTGTGTGTGTGTGTGTGTGTGTGTGTGTGTGTGTGTGTGTGTGTGTGTGTGTGTGTGTGTGTGTGTGTGTGTGTGTGTGTGTGTGTGTGTGTGTGTGTGTGTGTGTGTGTGTGTGTGTGTGTGTGTGTGTGTGTGTGTTGTGTGTGGTGTGTGTGTGTGTGTGTGTGTGTGTGTGTGTGTGTGTGTGTGTGTGTGTGTGTGTGTGTGTGTGTGTGTGTGTGTGTGTGTGGGTGTGGTGTGTGTGTGTGTGTGTGTGTGTGTGTGTGTGTGTGTGTGTGTGTGTGTGTGTGTGTGTGTGTGTGTGTGTGTGTGTGTGTGTGTGTGTGTGTGTGTGTGTGTGTGTGTGTGTGTGTGTGTGTGTGTGTGTGTGTGTGCAGGTGCTGTCGGCCTGGTGTGGTTTGTCTTGTGGACGTTTCTGGCCTTCGACAGTCCGAACACTCACCCACGGATCTCAGAGCAGGAGAGGCTCTACATCACCAACTCTCTCAAGAACGAGGTAACACCAGAAACAGACTCTGTGTCCAGAAATCAAGCTTTAAGAACAAGCCTTCGTAGATATGAGGAAAGGTTTTGTTATTCACCTTTGGTTTGCACAAAAAAAGATATGTAAGAAATAAAGATTTATCATTTTAGCAATTACTCAAAAACAATGAAACACTGGTGAATTAACAGGTAACTGTATGAAATGTGACTCAAACTTTAAAATACGACTCAGATTAAATAGACTTTATTAAAAAAAAAAAAAACATAATTTTTTTTTACTATTTCCTCTTCTCCTTTTTTTTGTTTGCAACGTGTTTGACAAATAAAATACCCACCAAAAAGTAACATTGATTTGATGAATTCTTTATTTGAATATAGCTGTTATTAATATGTAAAAGTTCAGAAGATTATATCACTAATTGGTATTTAGAGATTTGTTCTGTTCTCTCTTGTGAAGACATTAGCAGCAGAGTGTTTCAGACGTTTCCTGCGCAGTAGTCATCAGATAGTAATGTTGCATAACCTCGGTGTGACGCTGTGTTTTATTCTCTTATCTTAACTCATCGGTGTCACAGCCCTAGCAATGACAGTTTATTATCACGTGCGGACGCTCGCTCATGACTCCTGACATCTTTATGAAGAGTACAAAGTATAACTGTTGGATTCTTCTGCAGGGTTGTGAATTAGAAAATTACAAGACGACAAGGAATACCTCGACCCCCCCCCAAATTAACATTTGTATATTAGTCACTCACCTCACTTTAACTCTTTAAAGGTGGGGTAGGTAAGTTTGAGAAACCGGCTCGAGATACACTTTTTGTTATATTCCATGGAATGCTCTTAACATCCCGATAGCAATGAATATCTGAAGTGCTTTGACAAAAAACCAATACAAAAAGTCATCTCTGGAAGCCGTGGCGCTGTAAAAAGCACGACCAATCATCTGAGCCGGCCCGGCTAAAGTAACTGGATGGCCTACCTGACTGTCAGCCTTCCATCTGTGCACAAACTTATCTCGTGCCCTCATTGGTCATGTGCGCGTTCGTGTGTGTTGGAGGAGGGGCTCTGTAAGGAAGTGGCAGATTTTCTCCGGCTGTGTATTTTCAAATTCTAGCGCACTCGAGCTGGTTTCTCCAAAATTACCTACCCAACCTTTAAGAAAACGTTGTTATTTTGCACGTCTCTACAGTGACAAATAATCCTAAAACTGAGAAAAATGTACATATGAATTAAAAGTAAGTTCGGGTCAAGTTCAACAACAGCAAACATATATCAAAACATCAATTTATAAACTCTGAAACAAGTCTGATTATTCCAGTCATATGGTCCCTACTTCTCACCAGCAGGGGGAGATAAAGCTAACAGAATCAAAAGAGCAATCGAGACCCATTGGAAGATAAACTGGCATGAGACTTTGCAGGATCAGAGAAGGCCTGTTTCCATTTATTCAGAGGTTAAATAGACACGTCCTAGCGGTTAACTGGATGTATTTATGTACATATGCAATGCAAATAATCACACAGCTGAAGGTTGAAAGTTAAATTCAAAGTCAACTTTATTGTCAATCCTTCAGTTTGTGTCTACAGACAGAGGCCGTTTCTCAATGTCGAGGAGGCTTGCTTGGTAGCACATGTATGCTGGGCATTTAAACAGTCCTTCGGCGCCACTCGATGACATAGTATGCTTGAAATAGTGGCTCTGGAGCAGCTTTACTCGACATTGAGAAACGGCCAGAGAGATCGAAAAGCCGTTTCCCACAATCCTGAATACAAATATATATATATACAAATATGTATATGCTATATATTCACAATCAACAGACACATTTATACATATGCACACATTAAGACTTAAATAAAAGCACAACAATCAATATATACAAAATAACAGTCCCTTCAATAACTTTGAGAAATGTGCATTAGTGCAAGATTGTCCATAGCAGCGTAAAAAGTGTCTGGTGCTGGATTTGAGTGTCTGAATGTGTGTTAAAAATAAATTACTAATAATTTGGCGATCTTTCACATCTGATGCTTTAATGAAGAGCTTTCTAATAAATCTGCTCTCTGTTCTCCACTTCCTGTCCCAGCTGTCCACCTCAGCAGGATACATCCCCTGGAGAGCCATCCTAACGTCCGGCCCGCTGTGGGCCATCGTGGTCGCTCACTTCTCCTACAACTGGACCTTCTACACGCTGCTCACGCTGCTGCCCACTTACATGAAGGAGGTGCTGGGGTTCAGCATTAAGCAGGTGAGGGCCACGTCACACACATGCATCTGTGGAGCTGATGGGATGAGTTGTGAGATTAAACGGGCATGTTAACACATTATTTAAGTATTAATTAGATGTCAAAAGGTTATACAATTCAAAGACAGTGTTCATAGTCAAGCATCTTTTCTTGTCCTCCACAGAACGGGATGCTGTCGGCTCTTCCCTACATCGGCTGTGTGGTGTTAGCGGTGCTGAGCGGTCAGCTGGCCGATCACCTGAGGGAGACCTGTCTCGTCCGCACCGTCACCGTCAGGAAGGTCTTCTCCATCGTTGGTGAGGAGGACTGTCTATAACTATATTACTGTGTGAGGCTCTAAAGTCTAAATACACCATGTGTGCTACTTCTGAACAGAGGTAGCGGAGTACAAATACTTTGTTACTGTACTTAAGTAATATTTTCTGGTATCAGTACTTAACTCCACTAGTTTTTCTGATGACTTTTTACTTTTACTTCTTCCATGTTGAACACAAATACCTGTACTTTCTACTTCTTACATGTTGAACACAAATACCTGTACTTTCTACTTCTTACATGTTGAACACAAATACCTGTACTTTCTACTTCTTACATGTTGAACCCAAATACCTGTACTTTCTACTTCTTACATGTTGAACCCAAATACCTGTACTTTCTACTTCTTACATTTTGAACCCAAATACCTGTACTTTCTACTTCTTACATTTTGAACCCAAATACCTGTACTTTCTACTTCTTACATGTTGAACCCAAATACCTGTACTTTCTACTTCTTACATGTTGAACACTAATACCTGTACTTTCTACTTCTTACATGTTGAACCCAAATACCTGTACTTTCTACTTCTTACATGTTGAACACTAATACCTGTACTTTCTACTTCTTACATGTTGAACCCAAATACCTGTACTTTCTACTTCTTACATGTTGAACACAAATACCTGTACTTTCTACTTCTTACATGTTGAACCCAAATACCTGAACTTTCTACTTCTTACATTTTGAACCCAAATACCTGTACTTTCTACTTCTTACATTTTGAACCCAATACCTGTACTTTCTACTTCTTACATGTTGAACCCAAATACCTGTACTTTCTACTTCTTACATGTTGAACCCAATACCTGTACTTTCTACTTCTTACATGTTGAACACTAATACCTGTACTTTCTACTTCTTACATGTTGAACTCAAATACCTGTACTTTCTACTTCTTACATGTTGAACCCAAATACCTGTACTTTCTACTTCTTACATGTTGAACACTAATACCTGTACTTTCTACTTCTTACATGTTGAACTCAAATATCTGTACTTTCTACTTCTTACATGTTGAACCCAAATACCTGTACTTTCTACTTCTTACATGTTGAACCCAAATACCTGTACTTTCTACTTCTTACATGTTGAACACAAATACCTGAACTTTCTACTTCTTACATGTTGAACACAAATACCTGTACTTTCTACTTCTCACATGTTGAACTCAAATACCTGTACTTTCTACTTCTTACATGTTGAACACAAATACCTGTACTTTCTACTTCTTACATGTTGAACACAAATACCTGTACTTTCTACTTCTTACATGTTGAACACAAATACCTGTACTTTCTACTTCTTACATGTTGAACCCAAATACCTGTACTTTCTACTTCTTACATGTTGAACTCAAATACCTGAACTTTCTACTTCTTACATGTTGAACCCAAATACCTGTACTTTCTACTTCTTACATGTTGAACACAAATACCTGTACTTTCTACTTCTTACATGTTGAACACAAATACCTGTACTTTCTACTTCTTACATGTTGAACACAAATACCTGTACTTTCTACTTCTTACATGTTGAACACAAATACCTGTACTTTCTACTTCTTACATGTTGAACTCAAATACCTGTACTTTATACTTCTTACATGTTGAACACAAATACCTGTACTTTCTACTTCTCACATGTTGAACACAAATACCTGTACTTTCTACTTCTTACATGTTGAACTCAAATACCTGAACTTTCTACTTCTTACATTTTGAACACAAATACCTGTACTTTCTACTTCTTACATGTTGAACTCAAATACCTGAACTTTCTACTTCTTACATGTTGAACTCAAATACCTGAACTTTCTACTTCTTACATGTTGAACTCAAATACCTGAACTTTCTACTTCTTACATTTTGAACACAAATACCTGTACTTTCTACTTCTTACATGTTGAACTCAAATACCTGAACTTTCTACTTCTTACATGTTGAACTCAAATACCTGAACTTTCTACTTCTTACATGTTGAACTCAAATACCTGAACTTTCTACTTCTTACATGTTGAACTCAAATACCTGTACTTTCTACTTCTTACATGTTGAACTCAAATACCTGAACTTTCTACTTCTTACATGTTGAACACAAATACCTGTACTTTCTACTTCTTACATGTTGAACTCAAATACCTGAACTTTCTACTTCTTACATGTTGAACTCAAATACCTGTACTTTCTACTTCTTACATGTTGAACTCAAATACCTGAACTTTCTACTTCTTACATGTTGAACTCAAATACCTGTACTTTCTACTTCTTACATGTTGAACTCAAATACCTGAACTTTCTACTTCTTACATGTTGAACACAAATACCTGTACTTTCTACTTCTTACATGTTGAACTCAAATACCTGTACTTTCTACTTCTTACATGTTGAACTCAAATACCTGAACTTTCTACTTCTCACATGTTGAACACAAATACCTGTACTTTCTACTTCTTACATGTTGAACTCAAATACCTGAACTTTCTACTTCTTACATTTTGAACACAAATACCTGTACTTTCTACTTCTTACATGTTGAACACAAATACCTGTACTTTCTACTTCTTACATGTTGAACACAAATACCTGAACTTTCTACTTCTTACATTTTGAACACAAATACCTGAACTTTCTACTTCTTACATGTTGAACTCAAATACCTGAACTTTCTACTTCTTACATGTTGAACTCAAATACCTGTACTTTCTACTTCTTACATGTTGAACACAAATACCTGTACTTTCTACTTCTTACATGTTGAACACAAATACCTGTACTTTCTACTTCTTACATGTTGAACACAAATACCTGAACTTTCTACTTCTTACATTTTGAACACAAATACCTGAACTTTCTACTTCTTACATGTTGAACTCAAATACCTGAACTTTCTACTTCTTACATGTTGAACTCAAATACCTGTACTTTCTACTTCTTACATGTTGAACACAAATACCTGTACTTTCTACTTTTCTCATTCTCCAAACAGCTGGTTCCTTTAGTCTGAATGTGTTTGATGCGTGATCATTATTCTTTAGAGTCATTGCGTGCCTATTGATTTGAACACGATCCGTGTATCCATCACTTCCTGGTCTTCTCTAAAGAAGAGGGACCAATGGAAACGTTGTCATGTTGCCGTTGTTCAGCATGGAAACATTCATTAGCTAACAATGACATTATTGTTCTATTAATATAAAGGGAGGTCAGGTACTCTTTAAATCAGCTGCTAGTTATGGGTACTTTTTACTGAAGTACATTTCAAAGCACATACTTCTTTACTTTTACTTGAGTAAAGAAGTTTAGTCAGTACTTCTACTTTTACCAGAGTATTTTTAAACACGAGTATCTGTACTTCTACTTGAGTAAAGGACGTGTGTACTTTTGCCATCTCTGCTGAACCACCTGATGGTTTGTTTCTGCAGGGATGTTGGGGCCAGCCGTCTTCCTGGTGGCGGCGGGGTACACCGGATGTGACTACACCCTGGCTGTGACCTTCCTCACCCTCTCCTCCGCTCTGGGGGGGGTGTCCGCCTCCGGCTTCAACATCAACCACCTGGACATCGCTCCTTCGTAAGAATCACCAAGTTAATCAACTAACATCTTAGTGCTCATCATCCAGTTAAACCTCAAAGTTAAACTGACAAACAAATTAACTTTTTATGTCATAATAATAGTTTTTGCCCCCTTAAATTCAACACTTATGAGTAATTTAGTTATACTCTATGCATTTTACCTTTCAAATGTTTAATGTCAGAATTGTACAATAATGTAATGTGTCATTTTGTCCATAATTATAAATCCTGAGAAAGTACAGGAACATTTCATTTATAAGAATATATTCTGGTGCACCATTATCATACAGAGGTTTCACATCTCCTCCAGGTGTAAAGAGATGAATTGTATTCAAGTGAAAGCTGTTAAATTATAGTCAACACGTTATGTTTTTAGGTATGCTGGTATTCTCCTGGGAATCACCAACACGTTTGCCACCATTCCTGGCATGGTGAGCCCAGTCATCGCAAGGACCCTCACCCAACAGGTGAGACGTGTACCCTCACCCTTCATTAACCCGTCTGCACAGTGGATAACATTCCCTTACATTGAACAGAGCAGTGATAGTTTGGTGTTTCAAAAGGTTGAGATCACTCCAGATCTCCAGAGCTCCAGCGTCTCTTACTAAACAGATGGGATCCTTACTCGGCTTGATACTTCATTTCCTGTTTACTTGGTTTAGTCAGAGCACGATTAGGGTTTCTTTATCTGGTTTTCTGGATTAAAACAGGAAGACAGTACTCCATGCGGTCTCTGCTGTTGTAGTACGCTACCCTTTAACACAGCAGATCATTGATTTTGGCATTTAACCATCACCACACAGAACAAAACCGTTTAATGGCCAACTATCCAACCATTGCTGTAATTCATATTATCAACAATGGCAACCAGGTGAAGAATATCCTCCCACTGCCAGACCTCCACAGCCCCAGAGAAACGTCTGGCTCCAGGTGTAATAACGCTGGTTCAGGAGAAAATGCTTGTTTGTGTTTCTTTAAACCAATCAGAGTGATCTTGTGTGGCGCTAAGCTCAGGATGCAGTGACGGTGCCATAACAAAACAGATAGTACTGTTAGTGGGGGGGGGGGTGCAGGCTCACAGTCTACATCACGTGAAGCAGACCAGGTGAAGATCAAAAAAGTAAAGAACCCCGTTAAACAATCAAAGCATCTTTTTCTTGTATGTATTTATAGATTTTTTTACATTTATCACAAACACAACCGCACATTCCCAACATTAGATATATGGCAGATTACAAAATAATGCTATAAAGAATTAAATTAAAAGTGTGCAGTTACTAGAAATCAGTTTAAAGTACAGACCAAGAATATAATTACATTTGTAAGCAAAGCATCTTTTAAGCATGATACTATCTGAAACATGTTTCCTAAACCAAACTAATTACGAGAAAATCAAATGATTATTTTGCAAGTTCACATTTTTTTGGGTCACTTCTAACACGACTCTATTTGCTGTTCTTTTGTAACATTTCCACCATTTCAGTTTTTAGGATGTGCATATCATTTGTTGTTGTTACAATTGTCTTATTGTAATATATTCAAACCTTTTTAGAAATATTATTAGCAGAATGCCTTATGGGAATTACTTTAAACGTGGCACATACTGTATTTTTAGTTGGACTTAAGGATGAACTGATTAGAATTAGTCGAAGTCACTGACGTAAAAAAAAAGTTTGATTACAATTTCACTTGAATGTCTAATAAGATAACATGAAATAATGACATTTTGTACAGAAATGGATGTAAACTGCAACTTGAATAGTTGGGTAGAGCATAAAACAGTTTTAAAGGTCACCTATTATGCAAAACCCACTTGTTCATGTCTTTTATAAATGTGTCCCCTCTGTGTAAAGACATTCTGAAAGTTTCAGGAAAAAAGATTCTCTCTCTTTTTGTCCTGATCCATTTATATAAAAACCTGTCTGAAAATGAGCTGATCAGATTTTGGCCACTTTATGATGTCATTACGATGTTTTGGCTTGTGGAACCATTAGCCAATCAGCAACCAAGGTAACCCCCCCCCCACCTTATCACCTGAATCTCCTCCTAGAGCACCAGTAGGCGCGTTCACACCAGAGTACTTTTCCCCGTACTTTTCCCGTTTAACTTTTACCCCCATTGTTAGTGCCTGCTAGAGAGGTGGTACTTTCCTGGGGAGAAAAAAGTACCAATTTCTATTGGCTGGGCGAATTGCAAACCACGCCCCGTAAAACTCTGAAAAGTTTTGTGTTTGTATTTGCTGGCATTATCATTATTATCATTATTAGCATTAGCCCCGCGCACCAACGGAGAGAATAACTTAGAGCAACACAAAAAAAAACGGTGGAGTGATGAGGAGGTGTCGGCGTTCTGGCGATTTACTCGGAAGGCTTCAGTAGAAGCTGCTGGGACTCCCAGCAGCTTCTACTGAAGCCAGTCCCCAACTCCGGGGACTTCAGGTGGCAGTATACGCCGTGAAGTGGTTTGCGGCCTGCCAGTAAACCCAAAGCAGAAGAAGAAGAAGTGACGTCAGCGGCTTCATTTTCGTAATCTTCCCTTCTTATTCCGGTGTGAACGCGATCTGTACTTAGTTCCATGGGGGTACTAAGTGCTGGCACTAAGTACGGCAAAGTACTTGGTGTGAAAGCGGCCATTGTGTTCTTTGTAACCAAACATCTCTCAGAGGGGCGTGGGGAGGGGCTCCTTATTTTCCTCTAAAGTAACAGACAGAGATTCAGCCCTTTTGAAACAGGGCTGAAACAGAGGGGATTATGGGTAATGCTGCAATGATCTGTTTGGTGTTTGGAGCCAAACACTTCAGAGACATGTTCTGTATATATCTGAGACCTATATATTGATGAAAACCAGTATAATAGGGGACCTTTAAGACTCCTCATGAACTCTCCTGTCCTCCAGAACACCATAGAAGAATGGCAGACAGTTTTCTACATCGCTGCCGGCATCAACCTGTTCGGAGCGACGGTCTACACTCTGTTCGGCCGAGGAGACGTTCAGCCCTGGGCCGTCCACACGTCCTACAACCACGGAGACTGAGACAGAAAACACACGTCGGACTCCTCCATTTGATGCTTGAGTGATGGTTTGATGAATCAACGGGTAAACAGCGATATATACGTTCCAGCTTGAATTGTCAAAGCGCTGCTAACTAACTGCCATTACACCCTGCAGGATGTTCGTTACTGTGACTTCTCCAGAGTCTGTTGACAGATGATCTTACAGTCAGAGCAAGGAACAGAGTGCAATTTTAGTGAAGGGAACGTTTTATTTAGCAGAGCAAACAATCACAGTATGATCTCTAAGAGGTATCAGAGGAAGCTGCTTTTACGAAGGCCACTCTCTCTTTACTAGCAGAAAAATGGGAATTATTTGATGTTATAGAAGGTTAAGTAAACCCTGTTTAATTGGAATATAATAGCTATGATACAGATTTATCCAAGTGTAGTTCCTTTAGTGTTCAGGTTTGTCAGGTAGCAAACTATCGAGGCTCATTTGTCATTCAAGCCTCCAGAGCACTTTGCTTATATGGTTATTGCCATTGTAAAAGTCTACGTTCTTAAGGACATTTATTTTCACTTGTGTGCGGACATATCTCAGTGCCAATACACTTTTTTGAAGTTGAATGCTCCCCCCAAAAAAATGACATCAAAGTCATTATGCTCTTAAACACACACATTGACAGTTTCTCGAGGGAACAATATGACTGCACATGCACAACGCTTGGCAACATGCCTTGTAGTGACTCCTTAAAATGGATTTTAAAGCTCTGTGTCTTTCATGGGATTTGAAAAGGGACCAAGTTATTGTATTTGTTTGTATTTACTTGTGATATGTTGCCAATAAGGGATGTTTATGTGCACAACAACTTGTTTATGTCCTCCTTTAGCCCTTAACTAAAGCATTTTATTTGTAATCTGTGACTAAGAAGATGTTCTGATGATAGGAAAGTAAAACGTGCTTTGAAGAGGTTCCTGGAGGACACACAGCCTTTGATTTACTCACAGGATTTGCACTTTCTTTGTCAGCTCTCAGGTGTGTCTGAGAAGAATGGAAAAAGGATGTTTGTTTAATTGCGCACAGTTAACTCAATATGAATGGAAGTAATTCTCTATCTTAACTTTTTACTCCATATATGACTGTTGTATCTTGCCCCTTTAAGTGTAATGACTATAGGGGGGTGAACCAAAATCAGCCTGAAGGGATTTGTCATCATCCCAATTCAAGGTGCAATGCACTTGTGCCTTATTACATTAGCCTAAACAGGGTCAGACAAGTCAGGACTGAAGACTCATTGTTTTCATAAAGGAATCCTCTCGTTACTGCTTTTCCTTTCCATTTACATGAGTGTCTACAAACAGAGAAAATGGGACTTTTGATTGCAGTGTATACACTACAAAAAAGGGAATCATTGTATGTTTTTAACCTTGAAATATGTCAAGTCTTAATTCACTGTAATATATTGTATATACTTAATCATATACAGCTATTCTCAAATCGATATTGTGTTGTGTTGTTATTTCATTATATAGCCACAGTCACAGCAAAGCGAAGGAACATTATTTATAACTTATTTACATCTGTGATGAAAAGGAAGATCACATTTTCCAACATGTTGATTTGAACTTTTAATTACATTAGATGTAATTTTACAACCAGTTACTTTTGATATTTAAAAAAAAGGATAAACTTAAATATGTATAGAGCATCTGACAAAGTCCAATACAATGATGCATTGATTTGAAGTTAGTTGGTCACGTGACAGAAGCTATAGAAAAAAAATCATGAAAGTAAAATCTTTTTTTTTTTAAAAGGAAAGAAGCATCAAATTCAAATCATCAATCGATTGTATTCTGATACAGTCCTGCCTCTCGAAGTGCGATGTTTTGCCTCTAGGATACTTTTCTGCAACACCAACTATGATGGAACAGCCCACAAGTGTGTGAATACATGTAGACTGTTTACTCTGAGTGTGTGTTACATACGGAACTGTATAATGCATGCTACATCTCAAGTTCTTAATTTGCATTTTGAGTTATTGGAATCGCAACACACATCTCAAGCCCACATATGTTTCCCAAATGAGTTATAACTCTCGGGCTGTTGCGATGCACACTTTGCCATGCAGGATCAGTGTCCTCTGATAAACTCGCTCACAGTAACTTCTCCCTCGGCGTGATGCTGTGCAGCGCGTGCGCGCAATTACGCAACACCCCCTCCTGTCCTGTGCGCTAAAACCGGATCAGCGTCTCTCCTCAGGTCCTGCACCCAAACACAGCGGACAGCTCTCAGGTACGACACTACGAGACACTATGCATTGAAATTGTGCATTGTATTTTTGATGCTATGAAAATGAATGAGCGTTTTTTTTTAGCTCCATGCGGTGTTTTGGAAATGTTGTTGTTGTTGTGATGCAGGAAAGAGGGCAGACGGCTGGCACTTAATACGCATCCAGTGAGCGTGTTCATGATAAACATGGCGGGAGGTAGACCGTGCAATCCTGTAAATATTAAATATATCGCGGCTGTTCTATTTTGATGTGTTTTATCATATTGTGTTTGTTAACGCAGTGCGGCAGCTGCTGTGAGTGACGTTATACTGAAGGATGAGTTAAACATGCGCATGCAAAATACTGACAGTCCTGAGTTCACCTGTCTGGCCAGGATCATGTGAGGATTCTGGTTACAGTTGGATTAAAGCTGCCCGTCTACCTGCAGCACAACAGATTCACTTTAAATCCTCACAGGACTCATTTAGTAGAAGACTTTGTCGTGCAATTATGTAGTCAAGGTTATCACCATAGCACTCCTGCAGAGTTAACAACATTGTTTACTTCCCTCTGCACTAACCTGTGACAGTGCACTGCAGTGTCTGAGAAATGGCTGCTGCATATGCGATAGCAGCTGACAAAATGGTGGATTGTGGCTTGGAATTAGGCTGTAGTAAGTCTGAAAGAAGACATTAGAGAGGCGTGTTGTTTTTAAGTGACAGTGCAGAGCGAAGACAGCAGAAAGAGTGATGTGAAAGAGGAGAGCAGAGGTGTGGATGGATGGAGAAACAGAGTGGGAGGGTTGTGAGACTTGGCACAGTTCAGTGGCTATTGATACCATCCCTAATCTTCTGAGACACAAACATCTATTGCTAGTCAAGAGACGTCCTTGTCGGTAACCTTAGGTCAACATAACAAGGAACAGACAATATGGTGAGATTATTTAAGTGCTGATAAACTAAAGAAAAATTTACTCTTACGTCAAATTATTTCTGCATCAGTCACTTGTTTTCTCCCACTGCAATGCATTTGCTTAACTTCGTACTGTGTGATCTTGCAAATAATAATAATAATAATAACAAATGTATTTTGTAAGCACTTTTGCTCAAAGTCGCTTTACAAATATCATTAAATCAGACAGTGTTAAATAACAAAGCATATCTAGCATTAACAACTTTGTTTTTCCACCCTTAAAATATTTATTTTACTGCACACACAAAATATATCCAATGTCCATCAATTACAGGGACTTGTGCATGTGCAAGGTTTCCGTTTCGTTCCCTGCCAACCACCTGTACTGTATGTTGTACTAACTGTAACTTAACACTGGTTTTAACAGACTGCTAGCTTCAGCCAGCTCTACTCACCATGGGAAAGGAGAAACAACACATCAATATCGTCGTGATCGGCCATGTGGACTCAGGCAAGTCCACCACCACGGGCCACCTCATCTACAAGTGCGGAGGCATCGACAAGAGAACTATCGAGAAGTTTGAAAAAGAGGCGGCTGAGGTGAGGAGATACAGGCAGTCAAAAAAGACAGCCTTCTAAATAAGATAAAAGTCATCACCAGCTATGAACAAATTACTATCCATTACTTATTTCTCAGATGGGGAAGGGGTCGTTCAAGTACGCCTGGGTGCTGGACAAGCTGAAGGCAGAAAGGGAGCGTGGAATTACCATCGACATTTCACTGTGGAAGTTTGAAACCAACAAGTACTATGTGACCATCATCGATGCCCCTGGTCATAGGGACTTCATCAAGAACATGATCACCGGGACCTCCCAGGTCTGTAACGAGAGGCTGCTCAGTCTGTGTGTAGGACATGCTCCATGGGAAAGATGTGGGTCCTTTTGTCAGACTCTGTGCCTTTGATAAGAATAACCAGTGTCTCCGATCAATAGTGACTTGTTACTCAAATAATTTGGTCCAAGTCTCAAGTAAGCCACAGGTTAAAGACATTAGGTTAATAAGTTAATGTCAAGTTGGGTCCTTAACTAATTTTTAAAGAGAAAAGACAAAGCATTAGAGCCAGTCTAAAATAATATCATTAGTCAATTTATCTAACCTGTTCAAAAAGGTATGACCTTAAATTCAATTGTTTATATTTAGTAAAATAAATAGCCAAACCAAAAACAAACAGCATTATAAAACGTTATTTCTTAAATGTAATACAAAAATGATCTGATCTGATCCAAAGACCAGCTTGAATGACAGAGTAGTCATCCGAACATTAACATGCCCATTCCAGTGTGCAATCGCATATGCCTTGCGTTTAATTTTCCACACACTTGTATTGGCGCCATAATGAACAGCTTCCAAATACTAACACCATGTTCATTCATCTAGTTGCAGAGTAATGGTGACAGCAGCTTCATTGTTAACAGTACTAATGTTGTATCCTCTTCAGGCAGACTGTGCTGTGCTGATTGTGGCGGCCGGTGTGGGAGAGTTCGAGGCCGGTATCTCTAAGAACGGACAGACCCGTGAACATGCCCTTCTGGCCTATACTCTGGGAGTGAAGCAGCTCATTGTAGGCGTCAACAAGATGGACTCCACCGAGCCAAACTACAGCCAAAAGCGCTATGAGGAAATCGTGAAGGAAGTGAGCACCTACATCAAGAAGATCGGCTACAATCCGGACACCGTGGCCTTTGTACCCGTTTCAGGCTGGAATGGAGACAACATGCTTGAGGCCAGCCCCAATGTAAGTACAACACAGAAAACCAGGAATGCAAATGCTGTAAGAAATATTAGAAGTAAGCAGCCTTGAATTTGAATACCAATTTGCATGACTCGGGATGGGGAACGGTAGCTATATAAGGGAAAACAATAGTTGAGACTGTTGGTCCGAATAAGAGCAGATAGAGTAGCCCTTGCAATTACAAAAGCATTGTTCAAAAGAGAACACTGTGGCTTTTACACCTAGCTTACGTTTGCTAACACCAGCCACCATGAGCAACTGGGAATCCCAGACAGAGTTTATTTTATTTCAAAAGTCACAAAAAAATGAAGCTCAAACAAAGCTAAAACTTGACAATTATTTTCTCTCTTCTAGTTTTACCATAAGTTTAACACTTCTTTAATAACTGTGCAAAGTGTATAATTTAGTACGTTATTTTCTTGTCTCTAGATGACATGGTTTAAGGGGTGGAAGGTCAATAGGAAAGATGGCAATGCTTCAGGGACCACACTCCTGGAGGCTCTGGATGCCATCCAGTCGCCGAGCCGTCCAACAGACAAACCTCTGCGTCTGCCTCTGCAGGACGTCTACAAGATAGGAGGCATGTCGAGCAATCACAACAAATGGGTAGAAACTAAATGCTGTAGGGATAATAGACTCTAGAAACGTATGAAACACCTCATGATCAGAGCGTTTAATCAAAACAGGTTGTTTTTTTATTGTAGATCAAGGCAAGGCAAGTTTATTTATATAGCACCTTTCCACACGGGTTAGGGTTAGGCAATTCAAAGTGCTTTACAAAAATGAAAGACATTCATTAAAAAGCAAAGATAATAAAATAAACATGAAAAGAAAAAATACATGAATACAAGTTACAGTGCAGTCTAAGAAGATTTGAATAGTTCAATTAAAAGCAGCAGCAAAGATCAAAGTAGTCAGAGTTGCAGCGGACCTGCAGGTTTCTGGGAGTTTGTTCCAGATATTTGGAGCATAACAACTGAACTTCTCCATGTTTAGTTCTGACTCTGGGGACAGAAAGCTGACCAGTCCCAGAAGACCTGAGAGATCTGGATGGTTCAGGCATTCATTGCTTTATAAATGAATTCTTTGACACACAGGAAGCCAGTGTAAAGACTTCAGAAACCATCAGAACTGTCTTTATGTTGATTTAACACTAGAATAGAATTGTATACCTAAAACCGCCACCGGGGTCACATTGACCCGGTATTAGAATGCATTGATTTTCAAGGTAAAAGTATTGCTTTAAAAAGCAATTGTATTAAATTGTTTCGTTTATTAACGCTACAACATAGCGTTTCTTGAGGCGGTTGTCATTGTTGGGTGAAAAGCAAACAGCTGTTTTTTTTTTCTCTCTCTCTCTCTCTCTCTCTCTCTCTCTCTCTCTCTCTCTCTCTCTCTCTCTCTCTCTCTCTCTCTCTCTCTCTCTCTCTCTCAAACCGCAGTAGACAAAATGCGTTGCTATAGCAACACGTCATGTTTGTTTACACGCAAAATCAATAGCACGAAAAGGGGTGGGGTCAATATGACCCGCTGGGCGGAAATAGGTATAAATGGCAATTTTTTGGGCCGATTTCTTCAATCTGACTTCATATTGACCATTTTTAACAACATAGGGTGCTACATACCACAATTTCAGGAAAAAGTCACGGACTGGGAGACTTTAATATTTTATTGAAAAAAAGTTACATACAATAAAAAACAGCTCTGGGTCAAATTGACCCGATTGGCGGTTCTAGTGTTAAAGGTCCTTCATTGAATGCTACATTTCTCAGGTATTGGAACTGTGCCTGTGGGCCGTGTGGAGACTGGGATACTAAAGCCTGGCATGGTGGTGACCTTCGCCCCCGTCAATGTGACTACTGAGGTGAAGTCTGTGGAGATGCACCATGAGGCACTGAATGAGGCCCTGCCTGGAGACAACGTGGGATTCAACGTCAAGAATGTGTCGGTCAAGGACATTCGCCGTGGAAATGTGGCCGGCGATAGCAAGAGCGACCCCCCGCTGGAAGCTGCCAACTTCACTGCTCAGGTAGACAAAGGATGTGTTGATAGAAAGGAAACATGAACATGATTAAATCAGTTTGAGTCGGAACTATTAATAGTCTTGAGGAAAATTTGCTGTAAAGTCTATTTTTAGTACGCTTTGAATCCTTTTTTAGCCATGATGACTGTTTGATTGTCAAATTGACAGAGAGAAGGTGTCAAGATAAGACGGAACCCAAACAAGCCAAGTCGAGTCTTTGCAGTGAACTTCTTTGACAGAATATAAATGATCTCCTATAATTACCAGGCCTTTTAAATGTTGTGGCTTTGCTTTGCAGGTGATTATCCTCAATCACCCGGGCCAGATCAGTGCAGGTTACGCTCCTGTGCTCGACTGTCACACTGCTCACATCGCCTGCAAGTTTGCAGAGCTCAAGGAAAAGATTGATCGCCGCTCTGGCAAGAAGCTGGAGGACAACCCCAAATTCCTCAAGTCTGGAGATGCTGCCATTGTGGATATGGTTCCCGGCAAGCCAATGTGTGTTGAGAGCTTCTCCGAGTACCCTCCACTTGGTAAGTTCAAGTGTAGTTTTATTGAATTTCAACAGCTTGATACCAGATGAAACCATCACCTAAAGTAACTGTACTCCTCTTCACCTCTCAGGCCGCTTTGCAGTGCGGGACATGCGTCAGACTGTGGCCGTCGGAGTGATTAAAGGTGTGGAGAAGAAGGCCTATTCCACTGGTAAAGTTACCAAGTCCGCACAGAAGGCCCAGAGGAACAAATGAATGTTGTGCTTCTCTGCCGACCGCAAGGTCTCCCAGGGCAGGACATCCGTCATCCAATTCCACTCTTCAATTGGCTGCTTAATAATCAAAGACTGGTTAATCATCACAATGCATCGAAAAAGCATTCGGCGGAAAGAACGACATTTAGATCTCGAGTCCTTGAGGCAGCAATCCTGACTCCATTGGTTAGATTACCATTAGTTACAATGTAATATCAATCAGTTAACGTGCACAGTCCATTCGGTTCATAACAATATTTTTCTGTGATATTGATATTGAACTATTAGAGATACTGAAACTTATCACCGCTCAAGCTTTCTGGAGTGCAGGCACTGTTCTCTTTGTGTTGTCTTGCTTTTAGTGTTTGTTTGTAACTTCATGGTGCTCTGTATGGCACAATGCTATAACTACGTTCTTCCGAGTAGTAGATAAGTAGAACTTGTTGTGTTTAAATTATAAAAAGGACTTAAAACAAATGGTGGATATGTGCCCTTCCCCGATGGTTTTAGAGTAAACTACCTGTTGATTCCTAAAGCACTTTGATTGGCATTTTGCTAACTTTGCACTTGAGAAGCTTTAATTGGCATACGCTACTACACCTTACTGTAAGATGGCATGAGCCTCTCTCTAACATTAAACACGTTTCAACCAAAATGTTGGACTGTGGTCAGTTTGTTTCCCCTTCAATGTCCTGCATGTAATTGACAGTGCCTTGAACGTTCCTATAGTTTAAAGAAAGTCTGATACAAATCAGAGCAGTCCGAGCATGTGTCCAGGAGATGGAGCTATTGGTTCAGGAACAAAATAGGAATTTTCAAATGCAGTGTATGACAATCATATAATACAAAAATGCATACAGTAAATGTTTTTATAGAGCGCTTCTCGTAGTACTCAAACACACATTGTGTACACAAGATAAAATGATCATATGAAAACACCTCACTTAAGATATACACATTTGTAATAGATGTATTGTGGGAACAAATAAACCAGTGGAAGTTCTAAAGGACGACATGATCACTGGTGTGAAGACAGGTGCAGCAAAGTTTTGGATATAGTGAAGTTTATCTATGAATGTGATGAAGGTATGGATCAAAGTTTCTTTCTCAGTTAAGAAGGAGAGTGGTGGGTGGAGACTAGGGTTGGGAACCAAAACTCGGTTCCAGATGAGAACCGATAAGAAAATGCCGGGTACCGGGTACCCATACAAAATACACAATTTCGGTTCTGCTTAACGGTTCCTAAACGCGGTAGACCCTGTATTCCAGCGGGTCCGTCTGCCCGGTGGAATACAGGGCGGACTTGGAGAATCACAGAACGGCCGGTCGTCAGCGGGCCGTTGACGGCCGGCTCGGTACGCTGACGGCCGGCACCGCCCTTCATTTTTTTAAACGGCATCATATAAATTGCGCTGACAGGCGACAGAGGTCCACAGTTGCCCCGCAGCGATGCTCCCCCGCCCTCCCGTAGACATTTCACGAGCTCAGTCACTTCATAACACCAAAGATAGGTCGCGGTAAACACTCTGAAGTGAGGCTCCACTACACTAAAAAAGAAAAAGAAAAGGCAAAGTGTAATGCCTGTTAATAGCTTGCCACAGGCATAGCTCAGTTAAAATAAAGCACAGCTATTGTGCAATACATTTGTATTGCATGTATATTTTTTAGTAACAATTTCAGTTAAAGCTGAAAAGAATAAATATATTTTTGTTATCTAAACGTTTGACCTCTTTATTTTACAATTTTGGAATCGAAACGGGGAATCGATAAGAACCGGAATCGATAAGCAGAACCGGAATCGAAATCGGAATCGATAAATTTCAAACGATACCCATCCCTAGTGGAGACACGTTTTTAGTGTGAACAAAATATACTTTTCCTTTGATTATATTGATGTGGTAATCAAAGGAGTAGTTGCTGTTGAAAATGACTCCCGATGTTGCGGATGTGTGTTGAGGGACAAAGAGTGGAGTGGGTGTATAAACACTTACTACAGAGGAAAACTAAAGGGGCGTGTTCTTATTCCTTTCCCGGAAACTCTTTGGGTACAACTGACAGAGCTGTTTCATTGCTCTCATTGCAGCATCATGACTGGTAGAGGGAGAACATGCAAGGCAAAAAGCCCTGACACTAAGTGTGCCAAGAGTCAATCTAAACCTGAGGAAATGAAACATGAATCTCCTCCCAGATGTACGAGGAAGGACTTTAAAGAAGAGAAGCAGAAAGGCGCCACAAAGGAACAGAAACCCAAGGGGCAGAAAAAGACGAGCAGCACTGACGAAAATCCATCTGCACAGAGCATCCGTAAAGAGAAGACCACAAAACATTTCACAGAAGAGGTGAGCAAGCAGCAAAGTACACCTGCAGATAACAAAAAGGCTCCTGTGCAAGGCAGACAAGCCGAAACAACAGAACCAGTTACAAAGTCAAAGAAGATGCAGCCAAAGGGCACTACAGAGGATTCTCCAAAAACCACAAAGGAAAAAAAAATTGTCAGGAAGGAAAAATCCCCAGAACAATCTAGAGAGGAGAAGACGAAGGTGCAGCCGGAGGACATCAAGACGGCAAAAACATGCATTGCCAAAGAGAAAATTCCAGAGACAAAAATGCAGCCAGTGAGACCCAAGGAGAACCCAAAGGCTGATCGGTGTGAAGGCAAAGTGGACACTATCCTCTCCACAACTCTGGACAAATTAAGAATAAAAAGTGATGAAAAATCATATACATCCAAAGTTGTTAATGAACTTGTAAACGCCATACTTTCGCATTTGAAACAGAACACTCAATGCTTTAAAGAAGCCAAACCACTACGGACTGGGAGTTACTATGAAAATCTAAAGGTAAGTCACTTTGGTTCATATCTCCTCAAACAAACACTGGTTTTCATAATTTCTTAGGAAAAGAGCAAGGGGTCTGTAAGTAGGTGGAAGATATACTTACTTAAGTTAGTGCCGTACTTAAAAAATAATGTCTTTAAATAATGTGGTTTTTTCGTGTTTGCAGATTTCTAATCCGGATGAATTTGATGTCATGCTGGCCATTCCAGTTGACCGAGTGGACGTGAGTCCGTTTGGAGATGATGGAGCCTTTTACAGTGTGGAGTTAAAACGTGGCAATAGCCCTCTGAAGAGATTTGAAGAGAGCAGCACTTTATCCGCCAGTAAAATGCTTGACGAGTTCAGGTTAGAAGTCAAGGAATGTGCCAAGAAATATACAGGTAACTGCCAGAACGTAGATATAAAAAGATCCAAAAGGGAAATCGTAAGGAAAAAGTCTGTGTAGAAGCCAAATGCTACTTAGCCTGAATTCATTATTTGTGTTAAGTAACTTTTATTTGTTTGTTGAGCACTTCCGGTATGTCACATGGGTGTGGTTTACTGTACTGTAGGTCACCCGTTTCATGTCGAGTGCGGATGACAGAGGGTGAACTTGTGCTGTCATTTTTTCTGTTGACCGTTTTTGTCCCTATAATTACTGTTTCTATTTTGTTTATTAAATATCGTCGAACTATCTTACTTCAGTAGGCCTATGGACTTTCTCATTGAAAACGCATCGCAGCATAAAGCCAAGCTTAGCCTCTCGGCGACTCAAACTTAACTGGAAATTGAGCCGCCAGTCTGCTTTAGTCAAATGTGTATACATTATAAAACCATAATGAATACTAAATCTAAATTGTGCTTCTTGTTTGTATTTTCAGGATGGGAGGTGACAAGGAAGAAAAAAGGCTGCCCTGCAGTGACTCTGATCAGAACAGTACAATCGGTCACCGTCTCACTGGATATCGTTCTGAGCCTCGTGGTTAAATCGAGCTGGCCATCTTTCACCAAAGAAGGCCTTCGAATAGATAGCTGGCTGGGCACTAAAGTAAAGCGGGAATACAAGTGGGAGCCATATTATCTTGTACCAAAATTTGAAGGCACAGGTACAGAAGAGAAAGACGGGGTCCTAGCCAAGGGTAAGCCTTTCTCGTTGTTACATACACAACATTTTGGAGCTTTTACATAAGCTATTTAATGAATGAAAACTGGAAAAAAGGGAAGCTTAAACTTTCCTTACCCATTGAGTATTTTCTCTTCTTTACCACGCAGATACTTGGAGGGTGTCATTCTCTCATGTTGAGAAGGCCATACTGAAAAATCACGGATCGCAGAAGACATGCTGTGAGAAAGAGGGAGAACGCTGCTGCAGGTGAAGATTTTAACTTAATCCTCAAGTAAAAATAGACTTTTGTCCAATGCATTGCCATTACTTATATAATAGAATATATCTTTATTGTCATCATACAAAGTACAACGACATTTCTTTGGCAACTCTCACTGCAGTAAAAAATAGACACAATAAATAGCGATGACAGTGCAACGAGATACAATTCAATGTCAATGTGCATATTTACACTTACAGTCTAAATATATATTAGTAATATAGCCATAAGTATGTCTACATAGTGGTGTCTTTGAGTGGTGTGTGTGTGTGCTCACAGTTGTTGTAATGTGCTCTGAGGTTGGACAGATTATTATTGTCCTCAATTTAAGGGTACCTAAGTATGTTCCTTTGTCTTTACATACAGGAAGGACTGTTTGAAGCTCTTGAAGCACCTTCTCAGTCTGCTGAAGGAAAATAACTCTTCATTTGAAAAGTTTTGTTCCTATCACGCCAAAACCACGCTGCTCCACGCCTGCTGCTCCAGAACTAAAGACACGGACTGGAGGCCCTCGAGTCTGAGCCAGTGTTTCCGCCTGCTTCTGGAGGACTTTGTGTCCCATCTGGAAGAGGGTATACTCAACAACTTCTTCATCCCAACCCAGAACCTGCTCTCCAGTCTCAGCAGGAACAAGTGCAACAGCCTGGCTCGTTGCATCAGGGAGGAATGCGACAAGGGCTTTCCTATTTTCAAATGACAACTTCACAAGAAGAGTTTGACCTGTGACTGCACCGCAGAGAGTTTGAAACATCTTTCAACAAAGAACTGGGCAACTTAACCCCAGGGTAATTGTTCAAGAAAGCATATTTGAAATGGAATTGTTGTAATTAATGCTCGTGTCTATCACATTGATTTATTTTCTCTAAACATACCTTTTAATAAATGTCTAGCTTGTCCATGTTTGGCTTCTTTTGTATTTCTTAAATGTACTGCAACACCAAGTCCTTCATGACAGTCAAAGTAAGAAAATGTAAGTAAACACAAACTGTCAATCGCTAACTATATCTTGAAGGATGCAAGATATGCAGAAATCATGAAGTTGAATTTAATAACTTCTCTAAGACCCTTTTTATAAATGAAGGGCTCATTGCTATTTACATCAGCAAAACACTTCATAATCTTACAAGTCAAAAATGGTCATATAGAGTAGGTTATATAACGGTTTAAATAAGATTGATAGTGATAAGGGAAATCAAGTTTTATACAATACAAAATTGTGCGCTTAAGTTTGTTAATTAAAGTTATGATGGAGTGATAAAGAAAAGTTAAGACTGCTGGTCGGGACTTCTTAGATCAGTGATGTGACATACAACTTAAAATACATTTGAGCTTGAATCTTTTCTACCATGGAACAATTGCAGTCATTCAAATGAATAACACGTTGCAATGCTTTGGAAAATAATCATGTTAAGACTAAATAAGTTGTAATAAATGGGTTCAAACAGAAACACCTTAGTATTTCACTTGTGTTGAAGAAAGGGCCTGATAGCAAGACTTAGCTAAATGTGTTGTCCTCGAACGACCAGCTCACGTGTCAGAAGTGCTGACAGCAGGGACGGCAAAAGTACACACATCCTTTACTCAAGTAGAGGTACAGATACTCGTGTTTAAAAATACTCTGGTAAAAGTAGAAGTACTGACTAAACTTCTTTACTCAAGTCAAAGTAAAGAAGTTTGGGCTTTGAAATGTACTTCAGTAAAAAGTACCCATAACTACCAGGTGTTTTAAAGAGTACCTGACCTCCCTTTATATTAATAGAACAATAATGTCATTGTTAGCTAATGAATGTTTCCATGCTGAACAACGGCAACATGACAACGTTCTCATTGGTCCCTCTTCTTTAGAGAAGACCAGGAAATGATGGATACACGGATCGTGTTCAAATCAATAGGCACCCAATGACTAACTAATAATGATCGCGCCACCAAACACACATTCAAACTAAAGGAACCAGCCTGTTTGGAAAATGAGAGAAGTAGAAATTAGCCTACAGGTATTTGTGTTAAAAATGTAAGAAGTAAAAGTCGTCAGAAAAATAAGTAGTGGAGTAAAGTACTGATACCAGAAAGATGTACTTAAGTACAGTAACAAAGTATTTGTACTGCACTACTTCCCACTTCAGGCTGATACATTTTCTAAACGGTGTTGAAACTGATTTGTACACTTCTGCATTCGTCAGAGCCAAACCACCAAAAGCTGGCATGGCTTACTTCAGTAGTAAAGAACAACATTGCGAAATGTTTAATTATTATTATAGGAATCCTTAGAGCTGTGTTTTTGCTTTGATTTCCTGCTTAGTCATTCACCACCACATCTACAAGTCTTCTAGTAAATCTTACATGGTCAGCTGAGCAGTCACTTCCTGTCCATGTGCTTCAGAGGAGCTTTCACGGTAGGGTAGGTAAGAATGGAGAAACCAACTCGAGTGCGCTAGAATTTGAAAGTAGGGGTGGGCGGATCGATCCCAACATATCGATACTTCCGATATTACGTTACGTTTCAAAATATCGATACTAGAGCCAATAGGATCGATACTTTTATACTTTTCCCCCTCTCCTCTACTCGTCAATTTCATCAAAAACTATGTGCAGAGTGCAGACGAACACAATGCGCTCTTTCCTTCTCTCTCCACTGCTGTCCTCCTCTCCTCGAGGCTCCCGCACACGCAGCGCGCTCCCTGCCTGACCGCCGATTATCAAGCTGACTGACAGCAGCAGCCAGCGACTCACGAGTGCGATACACACACGCGCATGATTGCTGAGAGAAAGAGGAGCGTTGTATGGAGCTATTTCACAACTGTCAATGAAAACTTAACGAACTGTGATGTGTGCAAGAAGGCAGTTCGCTACTGTGGCCACTTTGTATTGTTATTTTCATGCTTGCACTTTACATTTGCTAAAGTAAAACGTTTATTTGTCTATAAAAACGGTCCTGTCTTTAATCATGAAAATGAATTCAGATTTAGTCTATGTATGATGCTTTCAGCTCAAAAATCATGTCATGCAGCTCTCCCCTATATGAAAGTACATAAGACGCTTTTCATTAAAAAAAGTATAGGTATCGGCGATACTGGCCCTGAAATAATTGGTATCGGATCGAATCCAGATTTTGTAGTATCGCCCACCCCTATTTGAAAGTACACAACCGGAAAAAATCTGCCCCTTCAGACTTCCTTACAGAGCCCCTCCTCCAACACACACGAACACGCACATGACCAATGAGGGCACGAGATAAGTTTGTGCACAGATGGAAGGCTGACAGGCAGGTAGGCCATCCAGTTATTTTAGCCGGGCCGGCTCAGATGATTGGTCGTGCTTTTTACAGCGCCACGGCTTCCAGAGATGAAATTATTTTATGTATTTATTGCTTATTGTCAAAGCATTTAATATATTCATTGCTATCGGGATGTTAAGAGTAGCATTCCATGGAATATAACAAGTGTTTCTGAAGTGAATTACCTACCCCACCTTTAATACTGGGCTTCACTTCCTGTGGAAAGAAATATTTGGTAATTACAAGACTGAATAGATTTGCCTTTTTCTAATTAATGATTATAAACTAACATTTACCTTTGGCGTCTTCTTTGTAAACTTTTCCCATGGTAGTTGATTTATGAAAATGCGTCAATGCAGATTTAGTCATTTCTTTATGACATTTTCGATATGACAAATTGCCAAGCCAATAAAATACACATGGTGTCAAATCTCTTTAAAAAGGAGAATTTATTTTACAGATTGAATTCTAGCCTGATAAAGAAATGACATGAACAAAAGATTCAGTGATTGTTAACACTGCAATGGTTGGTGAGTTACAGACAGGAGAAAACTGTCAGAATCGTGCATTTCAAACATTTTTTTAAACAGAAGCACAACACAAAGTGCCTCACTGATAAAGGATGACAATCCATCAAAACCCATGCAAACACAACTTTTCAATCAAAGGAAATGTATAAAAGGAAATATATACAATCAACAATAAATGTACAACAGATCCTGAACTAACCTAATGAGAAAAACGTTATTGCTAAATTATAATTCACTCCGAAAAGTATATTGCTTTTATTTTTTATCTGACAGATAGTATTTTTTTTATTACAAAGTGTCAACAACAACCATTTTTTTGTCTTTATAAACACTTCTGAGTCCTTATGTAGGGAACCTTGTGATACGCGTGGACATTGACTAGAACGCCCATTCAGAGTCTTCATCTCTGCCTCTTCTCCCTCCACCTTCTCTCCTTCCCCATCCTCCTCCTCCTCCTCCTCCACCTCCACCACCTCCTCCTCCTCCCCATCCTCCTCCTCTTCCTCCCCCCCCTCCTCCTCCTCTTCCTCCTCCTCCTCCTCTCGGACTGTCCATCTCTTTGTCTCTCTTGTTCTTCGCGAATCTCTCTGCCATAATCACCAGCTCCTCAGGGACTTCCTACAACAGGATTAACAAAGAGTACATTCATTTAGACATTAGATATTTTACTAAAATTATATATATATATATATTTTTAAACATGTTCAATTCAGATGACATGACGCACTCATCCCCTTCAATAACAGTGTTTACTTAAGCTTTCATATTGCAAATACTAGCTGTAAACTAAGCATTTGTTCAACAATATATTTATTTGAAGTGAAACAATAGCATGCTTTTGTTTATTAGTAAATACAATAAAACCTATTGTCCCTCAGCAGTGAAATACCAAAGGGAGAGGTGCATGCCTGACAATTCTATGAACACTTTGAGTTACCTTACTGTCAAACACATTTGAAGGTAAAGCAAAAGGTTTGTCAAAATAATATGTTTGCACCAACCTGTCCAGCTCGCTCCAGGATGAGAATCAGCTCAGCGGCCAACCTCCAGTTCTCTCTTGTTACCAGGGTAATGGAAGCTCCTGAGCGCCTGGAGCATAAATGTATCACCATTAAAACACAGGCAGTGATTTTCAAATTGTGAGACTCTCAGAATAAGGTGATCATTACTGTTGCGTTCCCTCCTAAACTAGGGGGTACAAAGGGGAGTAAGGAAATGTGAAAATAACCGGGAAAGAGAAAAAACTGATTTGTGAAGCCACAAGATGATGTTTTAAATAATCAAAAAATAAAGAGGGCTCACCAGCCAATTTGCAAAGTAAACTAATGACAAACACACAAACTCTTACCCTGCTCGTCCAGTGCGGCCCACTCGATGGACATACTCCTCTATGTTGCGTGGGAAGTCATAGTTATAAACATGCGTTATGTCATGGACGTCCAACCCTCGAGATGCCAAGTCTGTCGCGACCAGGATACGAACTCGGCCTGGAAAAATATTAAATTGTTGGTCAATTGTCTAAGGGACAGTTTCGTCCTACAGGACATACGACTGTTAAACACCTGCACTTCTGAAAGAACATCCATCTGGTTGTAACTTATATATATCAATATTCCAATTACTTGTAGATAGACTATTCTGCACTATTTCTATTAACTTGCACTATTATCTGTTGTATTGTGTTGCACTGTTGGAGGAGCCTGTAACCAGAGTTTCCGCTAGAATATTTTTTTGCCGGTCAAAATGTCCGTTAAAGTTTCAATCTTCCGGACAAAATTAGAAAAGTGCCGGTCAAAGGTCTTCTTTGTTATTTATTGAGCTTTAAAAACAAATTGATATGATTCGATATTAAACAAACTAATTATAGTGGATTAACTATTCAGAAGTGTTCAGTAACTTACAATGACACCGGAATAATAAATGGAGCGCTCTCTCCCTCTCCTGACAGCCCATCAGTATCATGTCGCTCGCGGATCCAGTAATGAGTGACCCGATAGTAAAACTAAACATATCTATACAGGGATGCAAACTCATCAGGTATGAAAAAGGTGACAAGGACCCGAGCCCCCCGACCCCACGGAATATCGGCTTT